GTCCAACGTGTTTTCTTTATCTTGAAACGACACACAGTAATGACAAAATTAATATGATTGGATTTTAATTAAATTCTAAATTACACGGTATAAATTGATAAAAAAAACAAACAAAGAACACAAATTAAATTTGTTATTTATTAAGTAACGACTATTCGCGACAATAAAAAAACAAAACGAGCGATCCTACTCGATGTACAGACGTGTTGAAAAGTATGTTCGCTCGAGAGAAGAGAGTAGAAACACGAAGCATAGTTGCTATAATGAACCAGAAAGAAAAACGTTTTATTAAACAGCTCGCGTTCACAAGGATACACGTGGCGTTCCAAGCGTTTTTATGCAGGTGCTCCTTTTCATACGTTCAAATACGCACACACACACACACACAGGTCTCTATGTTCTCTTCATTATGAGAAATATCAGCGAAACCAAAGAACATAAAGCACACCAACGCGGTTTCACGAACGTTGCTCTTTCCGCAAAATGCATAAATTATGCTCGTTCGCCTCAATAAGAATTTACCTCTCTATCTACGTACGAGTGAAAATAAAATTCGTATTCGTTCAAATTGTCACTTTGATGTGCTGAGATGCGACGACTAACTTTGTCCTTTAATAATTCCGGTAAATATATGCGACGTAACAACAAAATATGTAACAACGATATATATATACACAGGGTGTCCCAGAAATGGTGTAACATCTCTCGTAGACAGGTAGAAGAAGTAAAACTGAGTCGATAAGTCCTGTACCATTTTGTTAGATTCGCAATAGTTACCGAAATCTTAATTAACAAAGATCCGCGAATAAGCGTGCATCGGGCGCGTAGGATAGCCCGGCGCGCTTTGCACAATTACATTTTAATATGTATACGTTATAAAGAGTATATGCTGTTATATTAGCTCCTCTCATATGCTGCTGCGGGTAACACCGTAAGCGCGCGAAGCGCACTGGGCTTTTAAGCGAGTAAGACAGCCCGACGCATGCTTATTCGCTGATCTTTGTTAATTAAGATCTCGGTAACTATTGCGAATCTAGCAAAATGGTATAAAACTTTTTGATTCAGTTTTACTCCTTCTGTTTGTTCACAAGAGATGTTACACCAATTCTGGGACACCCTGTATATATATGTATTTAATAACGATTATCAACCGCGTATTATTAACATAATTTTTCAACACTTTTCCATACTAATAAATAAAAACTACTTTTCCCGCGACTGCTTTTTTATTATTCCATTGCGCAATTATGTGTTTTTGACGATTAATGAGATCTAGCGCGGCATTTGTGCAATTTCATTTTTATATTAACAGTTTTGTTATATGTATGTTACGTCGTTTTTGTTTTACACACGTGTTTCAGCTCTCTTTAATATTTCGCGAGCACCAATACTCGCGCGTGAGAATTTACAAATTACGCGTCCTTCATTCAGCGCAAAATTAATCCGACGTTGAATGACACGCAAAAGCTTTCCCGCGGTCTCTCTCGAATTTTTTTCAGAATGTTGCAGGAAACGGTCGGCAAACTCGCGCCGTTTCAATTATTTTATGCAAACGTCGCAATTTCGTAATTTTCCGACCGTACGGGTCAATGCGCCACACAACATTGCCGTTTCGCGAACATTTTGTTCTTATTGCATCCGCGTTTGCGAAACGCGGTTCTTATTTCGCAAATAAAATCAAAGGTTTAGTTTTTCAAAGACATGTTGTTCGTGCTTTTTTCAACAAGCTTTAAAAAACCAGAATTTGTGTTCCATTGAGATATCAATCGATGCTCGATCGATATTAATTTGTAAAACGAGCAAGTATTAAGCGATCAGAGGTTGTGAATGAAATTTTCGATCAGACCGATCGCAACACTTCGACAGTATCAACAAATTCGAGATATCGAGCGAATGGAAAACGGAGATAGGCTCGCGAAAATATTCGACGGGATAGGCGAATACGGTTTTTTTTTTTTTTTTNTGATGATATATGGTGATAAACGATGTAAATTTTTTTTCGGAGAGGAAGGGAAAGAGGCAGTTCCTGCGCCACCTTCGCCACGGACAGAAACAAATTTTGCGTGGTCAACGGGCCGGGCTTGCAAAACTGGACAGCCCGCGTTCTCTTCGTAGTAGTTACATGTTTCTCTACTCTCTCTCTCTCTCTCTCTCTCTCTGACTAGTTTCCGTTTCCTCTTTTCCACTTCTTGCTCAATCTTTTTTTTTGTTCTCTGTTTACAATGCAACTATATCTACATTTATTAATCATGTCAAACAGACACCGCTGTTTTCTCAAAAAAAGAAAACAGTTTATTACAAGTTTTTAGTTTTTTCTCCGTGTGGAACCGATGAATTTTAAAAAATAAATATAAATGAATTAAAATTAAAAAAATATACGAAACCGCGATGCAACGCGCGCGTAATAGCAAAATTCGATTTTCAGAAGAGAAGAAAATCAAAGAACGAAACTATTTCTCGTTAGTCGGGAACGTTTCGCAGATTCGTAACCTCACTATAGAATTCGCGATATGGCAGTTTCATCTGTTCGATACGTATACAGTGCTTTATTCTGGACATGTCTCGTCACTCGCGAATGATTTACGTGCTCCGGCCAAGAATCGAAAGCCGCGAGCGATGGCCAGAATTGCGGACACGTTATTTTTTCGAGAGAACCTATTCATCGACGCCTATCGTCCCGAAACCGGCTTTTCCCGTTGTTAGTGGGAAAAAAAAAAAAAAAAGAGAACGGAACGTCGCGTTCGTATGACGACCATTTAATTTATTTCGCAGACCGCGAACGCGCGGAACCGGCCGCTTGTCGAAGATAAATTTCAGCGTTGATTGATTCCCGACGCTTGAATGTTAGTATCTAAAGTGATAATGTTTTTTTTTTTTTTTTTGTTTTTCTTCTGTAAACCTTCACAAAAATCTGAACGTTTTATCGAACTTTATTCCATCCCGATTGAATCGAGAACGATTTTACTGAAATTGCCAAACCAGGCAAATTAGTGTCGCTTAATGCGGCGTTTCACCGGGAGGAAATTTGATAAACAGACGGGCACGTATTTTACGTGATTCGTGTACGAATTATAATGAACATAATCAAACGGTTAATTGAAACGTACGAATTTAATGGCGGCAGCGGAATCACACGCGAACAAAATTAGTGTAAGTCGTAAAATATTTGGCTGACTGCGCGTAGATTTTATCAATTGCTTATTAAATATACAAATCACACAATAATTGCTTGAAAAGATATATTATATATGGCGGCAATATCAGTGCGTAGCTTCGGCGCACAAATTGCGATAAGTTTCTTTAGCGATTTAATTAAATAGTTTAAATCACACACACACGGAGTGAATCGCGCAAAAATTCGCGCTTTAAATAATTAAATAAATTTATTTCCTTCATAAAGAAAAAATTATAAATGATACTTCTGTTGGAACAAAAAAAATATTTTGAAAGAGAGAAACATAATTTTTAATGTAAATCTGTATAGATTTTTTTTCGTTGAAAACTAAAGAGTTATACGATTTTAAAATTTTAATAAAAAATAAATTTTGTTTTTGATCGCGCAAACATATATTTTTGTCAAATATAAATGATAAAATATTGACAAATATAAAATATTGTTGTCGAGCATTTATGTTGTGCGCATTTTTGCCAATATTTTTATGCGTAGAACATTGAAACGATCGGCCGGGGTTATAATTAAAAAGTATATTTGTACGGAGAAGAAAAGGAGCAAAAGAGATAGATAGATAGGAGAGAGGGAGAAAGATTCAAAAACACACAACACACACGAATTAATGGCGCGAGGATGTGCGAAATGGTCAGCGGTGCGAACCGGAGGACAACTATTTTACAATAAAACACAGCGCACCGCGTGAGCATTACCGAAATAGTTTATCGCATGCCGCTATACATAAATATCCCGTAATGGCAGATATTGTTAGCGGTAACTCAAACAGGCGGGAGTCTCCATTGAGCGCTCGTGAATTAACGAGATATGGTAGGATTTTACGTGTAACGAGAAGATATTACCATGATTATCGATTTATCGCTATAAATTTCAATACAAGTTTGATTAATCCAAGATAAAGTTAATGTAAAAAGACCGAAACTCTTTCTCACTCTCTCTCTCTCTCTCTCTCTTTTGCTGTTTGAAAACAAGATACAAAAACTGTATTTAAATAAAAATACAGAAGTACAAACCCGAGTCGAAATTTTGATGCTACTTTCAAACTTTTGAAGATACTTTGAACCTATTTAACTGACCAATATACTTATTTAAACCTACTTTGACACTTATATTCATTTACTCCTCTTTTGAACCTTTAATTCTATAAATTTTACGTTACTCCTATTTTGAACCTACAAAACCTACCTCTCGATATTTTGGTGATTGAACATTTTTTAACATAAATGTAATATAAAATATATTTGATAAATATTTTTATCTATTGTTGCAGATACATTGCACTGCATTATTTCTAATAAAATAATAATCTAAACAAATAATAAATAAAATGTGTATAAGATAGCTTGAGAATAAATAGATAAAAATAATCATATTTTATTAAAAAACAGATGGTCTTGCAGACTGAGTGCAGGAGCTGCAAATACGACGAAGGGTCTCGAGTTCGAATCCCCGTCAATTTTTTTATTGACGTTTTAATTGAACCTATTTTACTACTTTAGCTCCTACAAAAATAGAACCTACTTTAAACCTAACTTGGAGAAAATGGAAATTTGTGACACTTTTAGGTTGAAAGTAGGAGCAAATTTTATCCTTGCAATTGAACCTACTTTACTATCGTAACTCCTATATATAGTAGAATGAGAGGTTCATCAGAGAGTCAAAATTTCGACTCGGGAATACATGAAAAATAAAAAGATGTGTTATCATGTAAAATATATTAATTAATAAAAACTGTACGTGTTTTAATTAAAATTATACTAATTGTTTCAATTATTAAATACAATAGTAAGAATAGAAAAAAATTGATACTTACAAATTACCGTCAAATTAACTGTCTTGTAATTGGTGGCGAAGGACGGTGCCTCGGTAGATACCTCGCACTTGTATTGGCCCGCGCTGGCGAGGTCGAGATTCTGCAACGTTATCGATTTCTGCTCGACGTCTCGCTTCGGTCCTTTCTGCGGGCAGAAAAGAATACAAGAAATGTATTTGCTTTGCTAATGGAGAACTTTTGTAGCGAGACGTGATGTCATTGTCTTGAAACGGATACGGACGCTCTATACTTGTAGGCAGGTAGAGTTTAATTGTGTACGTGTATTTCGCGCTCATTCGATATTATACCCAAGACAATCAACACTCGATTGTAGTCGCGCGGTAATGGAATTTCTAGAGATAACGCGGAATTCAATTGCAACACGTACACAGTGAAAACTTTATTATCAAAGTACACACCTAGGGGATGTACTCGGCGGGGGGAGGGAGGGGGATGGGACGTCCGAGGAGTAATATTCCGCTAGTAAATTTACATTGACATATTGCTTTGAAATTTGTAACAAACAAAAAAAAAACAGTATTTTTTTCGTATTCCACACCTCTTTTCTTCTCGTGCCGCGGAATATACGTGCGAGACGCGGGATTCTCGCGACGGGAAGGAGCTTGCTTGAACGAGAGATTTGGCTTCTTGTGTCGAAGTATTCGTACGGCTTTCGTAGTATCCGCGCTCTCTCTCGACGACTTAAACAGACTCTCTGTCTGGCGCGTATTCCTATCTGTCACGTTAGCGAGGCAGCGCGCTCGAAGAGTTATGTTCCCGTTATCAGAATGGGAGGGAGAAAGGGGATGGCATTGTCTTCACGGGCCATGCATCGCCACGTGCGCGACTTCATTGATAGCGGGCGCGGGCCGAGAGGAGGAAGGCGCGCGCACAGCGTTTGTGGCTTATCGATAATTCATGGCCCGTTACCGGAGCCCGAGACACGGTCTCGGCTGTTCGCATTAGGTTCGATTAGGTACATCCGCGGTCCAATTAGCTCTCCACGGTATGCGACGATGAAACCGGCGCGACGAGACGCGGGGGACTCCTCCTTCCTATTCCTCCCGTTTAACATTTATGGGAAATCAAGCATCCGTATCGATCGTCGTGTCGAACACCGTCGATTTCGATCCGATTCGCCGGAAATCCCGCGCGCGATATAGTACTCGCGCGCGGATTACGATGTGGCTTTCGATCGTCCAGGAATGAATATTTAATTTCGCGGCGCGCTGTAGATCTAATTAATTCTCATGATTCTCTCCAGAATATATCCGAACGCGTTTAACAGTTCACGTGGCGAGCTCAAATCGGCGCTGGGTGGTAATTACGATCGGTATTCAAACTCGATTGCGATATATACTCGCGATAATTAAATCGAAATCGCTTTTCAAATAAAGAGGATTTGTTTTTTCTTTTTTTTTTTTTTTTTTAACGTTCGAAACGATATTTTAAAATTTAACGAATAGTGTAGTTTTCGCTAATTGAGTCTACGTTAGACACGCATATTTGTGCGTTTTACGGTTAATATAAATACGATTTTCTCGTCATTTATATCAAGAGAGCTTGATATAAAATAACGCTTTTGCAAAGAGAAACGGATTATCGACGCGGTCGCATTCAATTTGATCGTCGAGACGCGTCGCGAAGCCACGCTACCGTGTATCCGATAAAAGCCGCCCCTTCCGTAATTTCCGGTTACATTAACGGCATCTCCGGCGGCCGCGTCGTCGATCTTCCGATATTCTGATAATCCGCGCGGTCTCAGACGCCAGGGAAAATTGCCGTTGGTAGTGACAGGTCGGCCTCCACCGACGACGGTTCGGAGTCCGGATAGTTCGCGGTGACGGCTAATTAAAGTGAATTAGAAACTTTCGTCCGCCATGCCTTCGTTCATGCCATGATAAGGAGATAGGAAACTCCTTAATCAATTTGATGTATCCGCGTGTCACGGGAAAGCGCAGTCACAATCACCAGTATATGTTATTAAACTTTTTATCATTGATTTTTTTTTTTTAATTGTGCAAAAAAAATTGTTCCTTAAACTTTTGCGGGAATGTAAAACTGACGATTTTCCTCGCACAGAAAATGTATCTCACAACTCTTATCGCCCGCTTCGCAAAACCGGGTTACTTAATTTTCCGTTCTTCTTCCGAACTTCCGATTCCTCGTATTTAACGAGATGTTAAACGCGCGCGAAACTTTCAAAAGTTGAATAAACGCGCGATATCCGACGACTCGATGCGCGATAGATTATGCTCGTAAAACGAGCGACGCGCGGAAGGAGAAAACGTATTACGCGATCGTGAATCAGGCGGAAAGAACACTCGCACGGAACGACGTCAATATTATCGGTCGTTTCAATTCCACGTCGTTAATTTACGATCGCATCGTGAACCGATACGAGCGCGAACTAAGAAGATTTAACTTATAATATACATAGAACGCGCGCGTTCTCAAAAGTGATTTATATATACATATATATATATATATTTTTTTTCAAAGCGACACGTCGACTTGAAAAAAGTGACGTGAGATATTATTTATTTTTTGATCATAAATAACGTGTAATGTGTCCTTTTCGACTAAAAGCGCGATACGTGCAATTGTACATGCGGCGCGGAAACGTCGCTCGTGCGCCGCGTCGAAATTACGCAAAATTTCCGATTGTAATTCCTCAAAATACGCGGGAAAGCTCTTTTCGGCGCATTTCGACAAGAAGCTCTTTTCGGCGAAACGGATCTTAAATTCCGCGCGCGTTTACGAAGCGGTCTGGCGACGCGATGGCTGGCATTTTCTGGCACCGCTAGCGTAAATAAAGAAGAACAAGCAACGAGGTAGCCGAGACGGAGACTCGCGCGCCGGTGTACATTTTCTTTTTATATTATATATATATATATATATATATATATATATATATATATATATATATATATATATGTATAATTTTCCTCTAGGTAATAAACTAAAAGCATGTTTCTCCGGCTGAGTACCACTGCTTCCGGTAGTCTGAGCCGGCTCGGCTCAGCTAGGCACGGGGTTCGCATGTTCACACACACACACACACACGCGCGCGCGCGCATATACTCATCTCTGTCTCTTTCTCTGTTCGGGAACAAAATTACTTTTACCGGTGGATAGTAGAAGCTCGAAATAATTCGAGGGACGAGCGAGGAAGCAAAGTCGGAGAACTTAGGCAAATTCGCTCGGAGCCCTCCTTGACTTCGTCCTTTAAGTTTCGAAATTGTACACCGCTCCGTGTATTAAGAGACCCGTGAAGGGATGAGGAGAGGAGGCGCGACGTAAGGAAGACGGGGATGGAAACACCGCGCCAAGCCTAGATCCTTCCGAAATAGGATACGAGAAGAGAAGAGGAGACGAAGAAGGACGTCTTCAAGTTTTCGACTGATCCCCCCCTCCCCCCGTCTACCCCCCGCGATGACACCGCTCTGTAAAATTAATCGCGCGGAGCACGATTTAATGGCGTGCTTTGTGGACACGACGAGAGAGATATTCAACCCGATTGCGCGAGTGTAACCACACAACCGACTTTGACTCCACGTCACCGTCCCGTCGGTGATTAATTAACAAATCTTCGGGTTTCGAAAATGACGTTGTAAATAAGTCCGGATCGATATCGCGATATGGATATTTGTTTGATTAAAACTTTCTCTATTAGCCGCCGTTCTCCGATCTGATTTTCGGCTACAGACCGAATGATTGAGAGACATTTTCCTCGGTTCTCTCCGGCGTTTTCTCCGACTCTTCGACTTTATTTATTTCATCGCAGACTCTATCTCTCTCTCTTGTTATCCGAGAAATGTTCCGAAAGTCGAAANAATAGTAGAGTTTCATAATATCCTCGTTATATCGATGTTAGTCTAGTGTCTCTCGCGGACTATCTTTCTTTGTGCCGACTGACAATCCGTCTGTTTTATCAATTGAATCTCGCAACTTTGTCTACTTTATTTTTGTTGCGTCCCTAAAAGAGAGGGGTGAGTTTTCCCCGAGATAGAAACGGAAATTATACAAAAGGTCGCGCAACAATCAGTCCCTCTCGGCGCGGCGATGCGCTGCAGAGAAGAAGAAACGCAAGGATAGGAGAACGCAGTCGCGGGAGTTGGGTGCAGACGCGAAAGTTTTCGAATCCCGGATAACGAGATGTTGATTCGCAACTTCTTACCGCGGCTGCGAAGGATAATACCTCCTGCGGAAGAGGAGAAGGAGAAGAGAAGAGAGCAAACCTTGCGCGCGCGCGCGCGCGCGAGCGCTCGTGCATTCGAGTAGCTCATCTTCGCCGCTCTCTACGTCTCGAATAGAACTTCAAGGCTCACTCGATACAGAAGAGAGACAATTCTGAGTATTTTCCGGAAAATGTGAGTGTTATGATAATTTGTCTTTCGACCGCGCGACGAGAGACGGTATCAAAGCGAGACAGAGCAGTCGCGAGACAACCACAGCAACCAAGCGCGCAATTAAGCGCGCGACGAATAACATCGCTATGTTTTCCCGTGACGTTATTTACGTTTTCATTGCAGTTACATTAATAAAAAAAAAGCACATCGGCTATTAATAATTGCAAACATTTCTTATTGTAAAATAATTACCAACTGCTTATAGCAAAAAAATTTTTACATAATATCCTGCACGTATAAAAAATATCTTCTTGCAATTTCACACACCGAGGCGTTTTTTCTTTTCGAGAAGGCGAGAAAATTAATGATTGCAATACACCGCACCTGTTCTCACACCCCACTTTGCGCGCGTGTAATATAATTACATTTATTTAAAACGCAAACTCTCTCGAATTCCCATCCCGAGCGGAAACCCAACCTTGTCCGCTCGCATAAACACTCGGCTTTTATATTCAATTCCTTTTATTGTCGTCGTCAATATGTTCTCGACCGCGGCATTTAATGCGAAAACCAGGAAAACTTTCCTTTCGTACAGCTTTTTAAAACGCACTTACTGGCGTAATATATCTTGTCTTACGACGAACCTCGGAGACCGCCGGAGTTACATGGCGCGTTAACTTTGAATAACCTATAAACCGGCCCTCCTCTCTCCAAATTCTCTCGGAATCTTTCTATTCGTCGCGATGAAGTTGCCCGGAGAATAAAAATCCTACGGGGACACCATGGTAATGGCCGTTAAACTCTTGCAAAAACGGCACTGACGTATAAACGCACGACTGCGTTTGCAATTGCAATAGAGAAAAGTATTCAGATACATTTTCTCCTCTGTATGTGTGTGTGTGTGTTGAATAAATGTAATAAGAATCTGCAAAAGACGTAATAAAACATGAAACAATTAAAGCCATTAAAGATATTCAATTTTATCGTTTCAAAATAAATTTATATTTAATATTATATTTATATTTAATATTTTATCGATCGTATTTTATCTTTGAAACAATATAAACTATTGAAATAAACAAATTAAAAATTAAGACTCATATAATTTTCAAACTAACTGAGAAAGGATGATACGAGCCAACGCGCTGGATGTTGCGCGCGGAATAAATATAAATATATACATACGAGTATGTAGTTGTATTTTTTTGGGAGTGCAAATTTTTTACACTTTGATTTCGAATTAAAATTTCCATTCGTAAATTCACATAGAATGCTATTCCGGCATTGCATATGTGAGAATATCCATTTTCCTTTTTCAACCAATTTGAAAATTATATCGCGGAAAAAAAAACACCTCCAAAAGCAGAAGTCGCATTTGGAACCTCTCGCTTTCCGCGCGATCGCCTTTTCGATTCGGCATTATTTCGTATACATATTTATTCCGCACAACATCCAGCGCATTGGGCTCATCTGTTAAATTTCTCGGTTAGGTTTTTATATAAATATTGAATTATGCGATGCACACACGCGCGAATTGTATGCAAAATACAATGTATAACAAAAGTCTGATATTAATATAGCGAAGTGTTAGACATTTTACAGTGTCTTTTATGAAAGTCGGGAAGAGATTTTTTTTCCAAAAACAAAAAAAAAAAAAAAAACTAGAAAAAAATTCTGCAGAAAAGATTCTCGCCGTCTATTCCAAAAGTTTACAAGTGATGAAAAAAACTTACGGACGATAATACGTCGTAAAATTCACATCTGTTACGCGATATACGCGCTCTCGCGAAAGATATTCATCTTTCCTTGTTCACTTTCATCTTCGTTGAATTAACCTGACCTTCCCGCGGAATCCATTAAGCGCAACCAAAACGACGAGTCCATAGACTCGTCGCTTTAATGGATGGATACGGACTTGTAATGGATGTTGTTGGATCTACTTCGCTCTCGAGGGAGATGTGCTTGCGGAGAGAGACGCGCGCCTCCCCGTCTCTTCGCATCGTTCCTCGCGAAGCGAGAAAAATCGAGATGGTCGTTTCGTGCGCCTTAAAAGTAATCTCCATTTCGGATGACGTTGAGACAATAAGACAAAAAAAATTTCAACGTTTCGTCGCTCAAGCGAGATGAGAAACAAAAATTTTAACTCATTTTTTTCGTTTCTCATTTATATGCAACGCGCGTTACGTTACACAACATCGCGATCTTTGCGCGTTTCATTCGCACGAATGATCTCTCGTTTTCCCGCGTTTGCGCGCGGGGTAATGTAAATACCACTGTATAGATAGCAGTCTGTCATGCCGCAATAGGGTTAGAAACGTTGATCATGCATCCGGGAGCAAAGGGAAACTACCCGCGATGGGGGCAGTTTCGTGAATAAATATAGACCGCGGCGTGAGCGCGCGTTGTTAGGTTTTACTGCCCTCAAGAGAGAAGCGGAGCTGCCGGTGCGGCGATTTATCGGACGGAAGATCGCCACAGCGCGAGGGTGCGGCAGATTAGTCAGATTGTTTGGAAATTTTCATTGGTTTCCTGCCAACCGAGAGTCGCAACCTCGCAACCCTCGAAATAATACCTCCTTTTGCTCGCTCGCTTCCTGCCCACGTACCACGACTCTGTCCGGAAAGTCGCTCTATTTACGGCCGTCTTAAGTCGCACGCGAAGCACATGCAAATGTCATACGAGAGAAGAACAAACGACTGAGCTTGTTTGCTTCGGTGGCGGAGAAACCGTGGCGCGGCCTGTGTCAACGTCGTTATATAAAATATGAAACGTTACGTGTTCGTCGTTGATTTTTTTTATCTTCGTCCGCGTACGACAATGTCCGTTCAAGTTTCTGATTTTTTAAACTACACGATCGCGACGAGTTCAAAATCTGATCGAAGATTTTTTTCAATTCATTAAAAAAAAAAAATCTCTGTTTTATAGCGCGTCTTTCTCATTTGTTTCAATTTATATAATTTTATCGAAATTAATTTCTTAGATAAGACGAGAGAGAGAGCAAGTCATCGATTGACATATCGCTGTATACCGACGCATCGAGGTGAGTTTTTTTCTCATTTAAAATGCTAATGCTACATATACTTGGGCTTCATCACGCTTGGTTTTTGCGCTCGCCATGTGGTGTGCGCCGAGATTTTAACGAATTATAGAAATACAGTTCAAACCGCAGAAACTCGAACGGGGCTTTAATTTTATTTGCGCGCGCACGGCGTAACACAAACGTCACGCTCTCACCAGTGTTCACAGTTTTGGCTTCCTTACAGCATGCTGAAGTGGTGGAAGGGATGCGCACAACAGCAGCGAATTCTAACTGCATAAACTCGCTACTGTTGTGCGCATCCCTTCCACCGCTTCAGCATGCTGTAAGGAAGCTAAAACTGTGAACACTGGCGGCCACACGGCCATAAAGCCTGTTCTACCAGAGAGAAGACTGAGAGCGGCCATGCCATTGTTGTTGTTTTTTTACGACGGTTTCCAGCCGCTACTTTCAGCGCCGGGTTCCATTTTGCACGGAACTCGCGAACTACGAAACGAGTTCCACTTTCGCAGGCGCATACGATAAAAATGTATCTCGGTTAGATTCTGTGCTAAATTCACTTTCATTCGGTTTGAATTCGTGCTACATCCGCTTTACTGTCGATAAGTAGAACTGCCAACCGTCGAGAGTGATCGGTGATGGTTGGCACGCACACACAAACGAAGAAACCGTGTCCGTGTGCGTGACGTCCAACGACACGAATGGAAGTGGGATCTAGCACGGACTCCAACCGAGATACGTTTGTATCGTCTATGCGCCTGAAAGTGGAACTCGTTTCGTAGTTCGCGAGTTCCACGCAAAGTGGAACTTGGCGCTGAAAGTAGGCGGCTGGAAACCGTCGTAAAAAACAACAATGGCATGGCCGCTCTCAGTCTTCTCTCTAGTTTTGTGCGCGCGCTTTGCCGCGCACTTCAACAAAGTTCGAATTCAGGACAGATCATAGGACAGACGCGCGACGCATAGCGGAAATGACGACTTGTTTCTGTATTTTTTGCGTTTATCGTCGTTTTGCGCAAATATCAGTCGTATCGTGTGTATTCAAAGTGTAGGATTGAGTGCGATACGCAGTGATATGTAAGTAGTATTGCTGATAGTCATAATTGGCGAATGTGTACGTTGAAATTGTTTCGCGATCGTGTTGGCAGACGAACGACGCGAGAACTTCTTTTGAATTGGTACGTACTATATTTTTCGCGATTGTTACGGCCTCGCGCACAAATACGCGATTGTCGTAAAATATCGGACGTTCCCATTGATACGTAATTAGCATCGCGTGTTTTTGCTAATGACGATAACAAGCAAGCGATTGTATCATCATGACCGTACGCGCTTTCGCGAGGCGCACAATAAGAGCTTCGTCTACGAAAATTTTGTATCTTTTGCTCTCTGCAACTACAATTGTGAACTGCAAAAATGTAGGATTTTTAGCGAGCAGCGTATCAGAATTCAAGACTGCTGAGCAAAATTATCACGGAGCAGAGGATGGAGTGTAATCAAGTAAGTACATCTTCTGAAGTCATCATTTGCCGCTATTGGGTGCTTTTCGGTTACGTGAGTAATTATTTTAATAATTAGGATTAAATATCTAAAATAGATTTAAGAAAGCAGTAGAAAGAGGATAGGAAGATAGAAATTTTTTAAAACAGAGATAGTCGTAAGAAAAATTCGTATACATTGGAAAAGAGAGAGAGAGGGAGAAAAATTTATAGTGATCGATCAAACGATGCTCGTCTTTTTTGACAACTTGTAGATGTTTAATCGATCGATCGCGGAAGCGAAATGTGAATAAATAGCGTGTGAAATTAAGAGATAGAGAGAGATGAAATCGGTAAGAGAGACACATTTCAATCGAGTTTCAATCTACGAACGCCTTGATGCCCACGTTTCGGTGAATAAAAACGTTCATCTTACCGAGTGATTTGATTCCGTTCTGTGCTATGCGCGCGCGGTCTCTTTGACTCATACAATCACTGACTGACTTAGTCGGTGGTTGTTCCACGCTCATCGAAAAAAAAACTATGCTGGCGACTTCCTCAGGCTCTTGTTTTTTTAAAAAGTAACAGTCTTATTACGACTCAATAGATATTATTATTTATGCACACAGCATGTAATGAAACAACATAGCAACGTTATGGTAATTGTTGCACAAGAACGACGGCAACGCGTTATGTTAAGTGCTAACTTAGGTCAACGCGCGCGAAGAAAACCGATTTACCTTGAGCGCTTACAACGTAAGTGCGCATGTTTTTGTGCGTTGATTTAAGGCCCTTATAGAAATTTATTGCTGATGTGGTCAAAATAATATGACAACTATAAATAATATAATAATATAATAATAACTTACATATTTTAAAATTACTGTCGAACAGTGCTTTTGTTACAAAAAACAAATAGTATTTTTGCCACACCAGTAATGTATTTCCGTAAGAATGTAAGCGCATGACGTAAACGTCCGTAATGTTTTTTTGTGCTGCGACCCTTTAGTGCACAAAAAAAAAAAAAAA